GAGCTCAAGAGATTCTGGATCTTTGGAAGCAAAATATAAAAAAGATGAGGGATGGCTTAAAATTTTTCCACAGTACTATATAATAGCGCTCCATATTGCACGGCAGTGATGTGTACCATCAGAAAGACTCTGGTGCTGAATTTCAGATATGTTAGCACAACTATTTAGAACAGGGTTACGACAATGATCATTCTTACTTAAGAATAATTAGTAATTATTTGTAATTAATGAAATATCAGAAAACATTTTTTTAAAATGTCAAAAAGAAACAAAGTATTGAATGCTCATATTTAGAGGGCAGAACCAGAGGATGTTTGGAATTATTGGCACCCACAGTGACTCCAACTCTGATTTGAATAAAAATAAGACACAATTTGCATCAATCTGCTTGTGAAACTTAATAAATCTGTGATTTATCTTTGTTCCTGTACAGCTGATCAAAGTTGAATTCAGGGAAAATTGTTGATTATGACAAACACAAATCATCAAGCTCTCTCAGTTTGTATAATAGCCTTGTTCTGTATCTGCACAAAGTCAGTGACGTGTCACACCAAAAGCAGCACCTTTTCAGATTCTCAGTTTGGTCAGTAAACATTAACTCCCACTGAATGTACACTGCTAGACCTCCACCTTTTCTAGAGCACTTCTGGAGTTCCCATTAACATCAGTGCCTGGCAGTTTTGTATTGTGTTTATTGGATTCATTATGCAGCTGCAGTGCAGAGTCTGGGACAAATGTCCAAATTAGAATTTATCCCAGCAGCTTCTGCACATTATGAACTCTTAACAGCAGTCACGCAGCGTGCTCCTGCTTGAGGGGAAAAGCACTTTCAAGAGTTCAAAGGTCAGAACGATCTTTAAACTCCATTTAAGGATTCCAGTGGTTTTGCCACAGTGAGAAACAGCTATCCCATGTCTGTCATTTTGTGGTACTTTGAGGCCAGCAAAACACTGAAAAGCAAATCAGATGCTCTAATGTGGTGATTAGCCAGTGCCGTTGAACACAGTACTCAGTTTGACCTGAATTTGGGTCCTGGTGAGTACTCCTGTGGGGAAATAAATTTTCACTGATTTGTTACTGTCTGATGACCAAGGCAGAAAATAAGCTCATTGCTCAATCACAAACAATGCACAGGCAAAGCAAGGGTATCCTTTTAGTTAATATAAAATGATGAAGAACTTTTACACATGGCAGCCAATATATCAACTCTTTCAAGTTCTGTGATTGTGGCCAATATCATTTTT